CTTGTAAGCAACTGCTTTTTGAGACTGCTGTTTTTAGATTCTGACATTTACGAGTGGAGTATTTACTGACATCGTTTTTGTCGTAAAATAAAACCAGCCTGTCCTCCTCCAAAAAATGACCAAATAGGTCGATTGTTCAGCAGCTTATTACGACCTATAGTCACGTTTTAAAGTTTAGCAAATCTAGTGGTCGTGTAAGAAACAACAATTTGTGGCATATGCTCCCGTTGATTGCAAACGCTCCGGAGGGTCGTATATTCACAAATAACCCTCTCTGGAAAATCCTAAATTGTAGGATAGTTTGGCCATTAAAATGCTTTTTGATTAGATTTCTAGCGAGAAGTGTATCTTGTACTTTTAGAATCCATGTCCAGTGGATGTGTAGGATATATAGTTTGATAGATATTACATAGATGATTTGAGGTCTCTCCAGGAGAACGTTAATATACTAATGTCCATTACATGTGTCCATGTAAAGTTAGCGTCAACCCTCATGGGGTGAAAACAGTATTTCCGGTCTCGAAGTTTTCATAATAAAACCGGAAGTATTCCCCTCACTGTCAAATGATTACACAGTGATATCTGCATTACTCATCCACTAAAAAACATCAGTGTATCCTTGTTAATTACACAACATTGATTGGTTTAAATTGTGTACAATGCTTTTGTGTTTTTAACCTTCGATTCGGAGATATAAATAGTTTTTGGGGAGTTTAGGATGGCCGAAGATACTACACTACCCATAATCCTCAGCTATCGTTTGGGACTACAACATCCGCTTTGCTTATTTATTTTTTACAAACCCCGTGATTAGTCCTCAAGCTCTGTGATTGGATGTTGGAGTGGCAGTGCGCCAAGGTTACGCCGAGCTCTTTGAAATGGAACGAAACCACGGCAGACTATCCAAAACTAGACACGAACGGGTCCAAACTATCCTACAATTTAGGATTTTCCAGAGGGTTATTTGTGAATATACGACCCACCGGAGCGTTTGCAGTCAACGGGAGCACTAGAGGTCGATAACTTTAAAACGTGATTATAGGTCGTAATAAGGGCTTGAACAATCGACCTATTTGGTCGTATGAGTTGGAGGACTTGTTGAATAAAACGTGAAGAACGTTTAAGCTTGTGTTAACCCTTGTGTGGTGTTCATATTTTTGTTACTCAGCCAGTGTTTGTGGGTGTGGTGGACCCGCTGCCTTTTTGGGCTTCAATTCAACACAATCAAACTATTTTATGTTAAAATACTCAACAGATGTTTACTTCATCTCAATTACAAGCAATATAAACAGCATATATGGTGAATATTTGCCCTTTTACATTTGTTAGATCACATTAATGAATTAAAGTGCTACCCGTTTTTTTTTGCCTGCTGACCGGCTGGTCCTGTGGCTCGTCTTTTTTTTGTAACTAGCTGATGCTCAATCTCTTCCTCTTCTTCAAAGTCACTGTCAGACTCAGAAATGTGATCCTCACGTTCTGAAACCTCTTCCTCTTCCTCTACATCATCATCATCATCAAATGGTTCTCTCTCTTCCAGAATCATTTGCAAGGCCCTCTGAGCCCCAAATGTGCAGCTTGGATAGAGTGTGAAAAAAATAAAGATTGGTTCCCGCAAAACATAATGCGGGAATGTGAGAGCAGACGGGTTGCACGCACACACACACACACACACACACACACACACACACACACACACACACACACACCATGTATGTAATGTAAATGTGCAGGGGGGGGTACAGTGGGTGGTCATTGAAAATGTGTTCTTTTCTTTTTTCTTTTAATAAGGAGCATTTACAAGTATACAAGACAAATAACAAAATATACATGGAGACAAAAAGAGAAAAGAAAAACTGTGTGTGTGTGCGTGCGTCTGGAGGATTGGACAAAAAGAGAGTAATAAATGACAAAATTATAATTAAAATGAAATGAGTAACAATATAATAGGGTTAGGGCATATAAATAGTAGCATGACCTTAAAGAAGTATCGTGTGTGGTGATTTCCAATTCATGAGGATAGTTTTTTTTGCAATGATTAGGGCTATGGACAGAATTCTACTTGATGTAATGTTGATGTTTACATTGGAAATGTCTCCTAGTAAACAAAGGGATGGAAGAAGAGGGATGTGGCAGTCCAGCAAAAAAGAGAGGTTGTCAGTGATGTTATGCCAGAATAGCTTAACAATCATTTCAACAAAAAAGAAAAAAATGTTCCTAAAGCACTCTATCCATCCTAGAGTTGACTCATCTAATGTCTAAGTGCTAATGGTCATTCAACCATCAGGAGACAAGCTGACATTTAAAAAATCCCCTTTTCCTGACTGATGGGTGTGTTTGTTTAACTGTAAACTGAAGGCACTTAAACAAGACACTATGGCAAATACGAGGATCTCAAGCCAAAGCTCTGTGGCTAAACAATAATCCCTTGAACATTATGTCAGCCTGCTGCTCTTCACATCAGAGCAAATCTGGAAATAAACTGACTCCTGATAAAAACTTGTGAACTGTCAGACGATAAAGGCGAATTCAACCTTGGTTTGCCATGGAGAATTCTGTCCTGCTTTTCACTTATCTGTTTCCGGGATTTCTGGTTCCGATTTGATACAATGGCAGTGAATATAGTTTTAATTTGTGATGTTCACAGTAATGATACATTAGCCAACTTTAAAACATTCACAATTATCATATTTTTTAAGAATGAGTGCCCCCATTATTTTGGATAATTTGCAGACTTCACAGTTAATTTGGCTTTTAAAAGCATGAGTGAGAGTTGCACAACTCTCATCTGGATGTTTTTTTGTTAATAATGAATATTTAACTTAATGAAATATGTTTCATTTTTTAAATATGCTTATTTGTTTTTGTACCAAAAATACAAAATATATAAGTTTACCGTTAGCATAAAGACTAAAAACAAAGGAAAACAGCTCCTGGCTCTGTTCGAAGGTTAAAAGAAATCCTGCCGGAAGTTCAAAAACTTGGTAATTAACTTTTTACCAATTATAGGTAAGTGCAATAACAACAACCATATATAGAGACATTTTGTCATCACTGTGATGTTGCCAGGCAGCCAGCAGAACTGTCTAGAAGTCACCCTGTCAAGAAATAATTTGAACATGTAAAACTCTCGATCTTTTCTTTACTTTGATTGTGTACATTGTTGTACATGTTTTTCATGTAGCATACATGTCCTGTAGCTCTTGACAAAAATGTGAAAATAAATAGTTCCAAAAAGTTTGAATAATTTCGCTAATGAGGTAGGATAAATATGATTACGGCAGTGATAAACAACATTTGATTCATTAAAAAACCCAGGGACCCTTTAAGGTCAAGACTACACACGAAATATGAATTCACGTTTTTTGCAAAATTGGAGTACGCTTAACTGTTATATTCGTTTTTTGTAACAGCAATAATATTCGTGGGTCAATTTGACCCAGTGCATGTTTAATTATCCAAAATGGTCAGAAGCCCCAAAATCCAGATTTTTTGTGTGTGTGTGTGTGTGTGTGTGTGTGTGTGTGTGTGTGTGTGTGTGTGTGTGTGTGTGTGTGTGTGTGTGTGTGTGTGTGTCTACATTTCTGACCCCTTTTAGCCTCCACTTTCACTGCCGGGTCAGATTGACCCGAATACCATCTCTGTGATATAGACATGTAGGGGGGGGTTCCAAATGCATGACATGAACCATTTTCATTTTACTTGTTTATTGCACTAATTAAGGTAAGTAGAAGAAGTTTCATACAAAAAAATACTTGAAAGTATTTTTCGTAGATTTTCAAACTTTCAAACGGGTCAATTTGACCCTGAATGTAACAGGAGGGTAAAAGAATGCTTGGATCTTATCCAATGTAAGTTTCAAAATCAACATTCATGTTCCACAGAAATGCTCTCACGCAGAGAAGCTTCATTACATTTCGCAACTAAGATAACATACTCATGAATTATTTCAGTCTTATCAAAGGGTGTGTACGAGTAAATGTGTGGGTTTGTTCTTGTGTGTGACAGTGTGTGCCTTTTCCTTGTCTAGTAGATGTAATAAAGAGCAAGTGGGAGGGTCTTTGGCAAAGCTGCAAATCATTTTGCATAGGGCTGTGTGCCGAGCCCTGGAGCCATTCAGGGGAAGGCTTTAACCGTCATGGAAAAACACCTGGATTATATAAGGACACCCCCCCCCACACACACACACACACACCCCACTTTGCTCGGGGATTTGCCCTGAGTCTTGAATGCTCACAGCCTGATGGCCTCACTTTGGCCCTCCCTTCCACCTCTCTAATATTCCAGCTATGATTGGTTTAATAATGTTCTAATGGTAAAAGTTACTCTCCAATCCAGATGTGTTGCAGCTTGCTCTTGACAATGGTGACTTGTACAACCACTCGTTAATTTCTTTTGAATCTTCAATCGGCCTCAGTGCGGCAGAAACCTTGAAGATCATTTACTGCCTGGAGACTAATGGTGATTAACCATCTTAAATGCGATAACAACATAATAATTACAATTGCAACATGTTATTTAGACATGATTCTGCACATGAGTGATAAAGTATATTGATCATGGAAACTAGGCAAAAAAAAAGTTCCTGAGTTCGTTAAAAAAACCTGTCTCTGTCAATGCCCTGTCTAGAAATGTTTTGTATTTGAAACATTTAAAAGTGCATTTGCTGCATGTTTATTTCAAGTATTCCAGTAAAACACAAAGCACATGTTTGAAATGTTGGATTAGTCCGACAACTCATAATCCTGAGCAATCATTACTCCATACAGTAACTGCTGCTGATACTGTGTTGTTTCAGTATTTGCCAGGTTTGGAGTGCTTAACACATGTTCCAAAAGCACGAGGGAAACTTTGCTTTGTTATATTAAGTGTGTGAATAGGGTGGGGAATTCAGATCCTCAAAAGTCACCAACACATTTTAACTGATGGAGAAAAGTATCTCTCTTCCAAAGTGCCTGAAAAAACAACAATCATGTTAATGAATGACGTGGTGCCCTCACTGCGGTTGGGGGGGCTGTCTTGGTGCTGTGAGGATCCAGACTCCTCTTCTTCCTCAGCAGCTCTTTGACTGGGTCTCTGACTCGAACCCCTTGGTACGGTCTGGACCTGGCCAGTGCTGAAGGTGGCGCTAGAGAAGAAAAAACACATCAACTTCTTAATAAATGCCATCCATATAGAGTGGTGCATAGAGTGTTTTTGTATGTTGACCCTGAAGTTAGCCTTATGTCAAGGGTTCCCTTGACATAAGCAATGTGACTTCATCCCATTGGATTTTGGGAGCAAAATAGCGGGATAATCTCCACAGATTAACACCACTTTAGGATTTCTGAAGCGTTAATTCAATTGCTAGATGTAAAAAGCTATTGTAAGGCTAAAAACCAACTACAAAAAACCTCCGCTAAGCAACAGGTGGTCACTTGTCGGGGTAATGACGTGTAGTAGGGTAGTTAGTCCTTTGTTAGCAACCACCGTTTTAATGACGCATAGATAAATTCTCTTAAACGAGCGTTAACTTTATTCCAGGCATCTAATCGAAAACATCTTCCAAAAAACGCTAACTTCGAGACAAGGGAAGTTAAAAATGCTAACTAATTTCCAGTTTTAAAGACTCATTCCTACACCACTGTATTTGCCTGCTCATTAAAACTAACACTAACGGATTGTGATATTCTACTGTCCTTTTGTTTTATTTTGTTTTATTTAACACCTGCCATTTCAATGAGAAATACATGTAAAAACCGACAATATTTCAAATGGACCAGTGCACTCATCGGAGTCTTTTTCTATGCAGTAACACCATCAAATGATTCAATATTTCTATAATATATCATTAGGTTTCAGTGTTTTCTGAGCCACTGACAGAGACTTGAGGCCATATTCTCTCTCAGTACAAATGTTTACAACCCATAACTTTGTGCAAGTATAAGCTTGAAGAGAAATCAGATCTGAAGCAGAGAGCCTCACTTGAGTAAACATTTTATATACATTTTATTACATTTTATTACATTTTATTTATATAATTAAATCGATTTTTTGTTTGTTTTATCTGAGTGTTCCAGGGTATTCTCTGAATACCTTGAAGGCCCTGACGGTTCGCCACTGAGTGAAAGAGGGTAATCTTTGTACAGGCCCCACAACAACCCCCATGAATCCAAAATACACAAAACAGCTACATGTCATTGTCTGAAAACTTTTCTTTCAATGAAGTACAAGTTGTATCACGCTATTTCTATAACACGGACCCTTCAAATCTGTACAAAATCCACTCATCTTTTCAATGTTTCTGTCCATGCCTCTATGAAGCAGTCAGAAGCAAAACTGTGTCAACATGTCAGAGAGATAGAAAGATGAGTTGAATACGCTCTGAGCATCTTTGACTTAAGTCGGGCTCGAGTCATTACATTTGAGCTCGTCTTGAACTTCCTCCAAACAGTTGTGAAGATGTGCCACTCAGTCACTCTGCTGGTGGTGCTAAAGACAACGTTACTGGATCACCAAGGTATTCATGCTCTCGGGATCATACATGTTTTGTATAGAAATGTCATGGCAATCTATCCAATAGTTGTTGAGATATTTCTATATTTTGAATTTTCTTTTTTTTGTGGGTTGGGTTTAGAGACCAAATTGCTAGCAAAACAGGTTGGCTTTCAGACTTTCTGTTCTGAACGTAAAACATGGTTAAACCATTAATATATACATATTCTGCATGCAGTCTTATTCTAATTGAATTAATTTGAACATTACAATTTAATCTGAGTCAATTAAAAGAAGGATAAAATAGTCTGAAAACAGGTTTCTAGAGGATTATTACAATATTTCATCTTTCGGCCAATGTCTCTTTCAATGTTGAAATTAAATTGCCATCTGGTCCTGATGCTACACACACACCTACAATGGAGAGGAAATTCCCATATGGCCTGAATTATGTGCCCCATGGTGTTTGGTGTGATCACTAATAGGAATCTCTGCCAATAGGAATTCACATGAACAAAATCATCTTCATTTAATGCATGGTAAGTTTGTTAAATGTTAGTTATGGGTTGCAAGTGTACAGTTAAGCCAGTGGTAAACCTGTACTGCAGTTAAGGAAGTACAAATTAAATGTCGTGTTCGCACAAATAATGTGATGTTTTGACTGGTGACACTAATGTAATGATAGATTGATAACTCTTTTTCTTGGTTAACTCCAAGGGAATTCCAATTTGAATTACCATTGTTGTTTTGTTGTTGTAGTGCCCCAACCGTGAGTCAGTACAGTCAGTTTCCATCTGGCAAGTGCTAACCTACCCTGGCTTGGTTTTTGTAACTGACAAGTTGAGCTACAGCTTAACAAGCCATTGCGTAATATGAGGAAAAATAACTGCCTGCTAGAGATATCACAAATTCGACATTGTTGGCAAATTCACAAATTAATTAATTGTGCTCGCTCCTTGAATTGTGTATTTTATGCAACCGCTATGAGACCAATCTCAAGGTCTGTTTCACAAAAGGGATTGCATTAATCCGTGTGGTAAAGTTCTGTTGAAGCCAAATACACAGTGGACGAAGAGTCGACTAAATTAGCATGTGCCTAAATTAGCACAATACCTTCACTTTCTCCCTAAACCTCAACATATTTGTGAATAATATTGGTGGTCGTATGGACATGATTAAAAACAGTTGGAAAAGTAAACCGCTTTGCTGCTAACATGCTAATATTACTATCAAATCAGTTGAAAAATGTTGATAATTTATTATTTCCGGAACATCATTTTTTTAGCCACATCCTACTATTCCAACATTAGCAAACATATTCTGAATAAATGACAATGCTGTTAAAAAGGTATCTGGGAATTTATAAGAAATCAGGTTCTGGATCTTTGTACCTCTAACAGTTAACAACCACACAGGTTTCATAATATTCGTTGCTGGTGGTACATTAGCACATTTTCACTGTTTGTGTCTGTAGTTGGACTGATGAGAAAGACAATTATCGTATCATTTCAATCTTGAGGAGCTCTGCTCACTTTCACCCAATGACTGTTTGTTTCCAAATCAAATCAAATCAAATCAAGTTTTATTTATAAAGCACATTTAAAAGTGATTTTTGGTCGAGCCAAAGTGCTGTACATGTAATAAAAACACATTACTACAATCACAATAAAAGACAATAAATTACAACAGATATATAAAAAACACAGGGAGTCAGGAGTCGTGCTCCGCTCTGACTAGAAGGCCAGGGAGAAGAAGTGTGTCTTAAGAGTAGATTTAAAAACCATAGGGTCTGGGCCGACCTCACATGGAGGGGCAGAGTGTTCCAGAGCCTAGGGCCAGCTGCTGCGAAGGCTTCCAAAGCATTCCTCTTAAGTATTTTCTGACAGTTACTGGCCTGCTACTGGAACTGCTGTCCCATCACTCCCAAATGACAGAGGATGTTGACCTTTGCACCAGACGGCTGCTGACTCTCTACTTAACCTCAGTTATTTGGATGAGGGTGTCCTGAGACGAGCTATCTGCAGTTGATTAATATGCCTGTACAGGTCAGACAGGCTAAGTGGAAACAAGTCTATGATGCTTAACATTAAAAGAGGACTGGAAGCACAATTAACAGTTCCTCAAACCCCGCCCCCACTTGGTTACTGTTACTGCACCTGCAAGTCTTCTTTGCTCCCGCTCAGCATATACATAGTTTACAACAACAGTGATACATTTATTGCTCAAATATTCTCAGCAGTTAATAGAACAATGTGTCCTTGATTTCGGGCAAATGTAGAAAAAAGCAGTCTTCTACAGAGTGACCATTGTGAGGTCAATGAAAGCTGTGGCTAGCAGATGATACAGACTGTAGCTAGCTAGTTCATGAATATAGCATTAGCTCAAAGAATTGGAATGTGACATCTTGATCATGAATATGCACTATATTGCTACATGAATGATATTGTCCTATCTACGGCTAAAGCTAACTGATCAAAGTTATAAAGTCAGCATCTTTACCAGTTATGTAGTAATATAGTAAGAGTGATAACAAAAATACATCCTACAGTACATCCTACTCCTTGTATCTTCAAAAAGTATGCTTCACTTTTTACAAAAGATTTACAAAGTGTGTAGCGGACCAGATGCTCTTAGGTAGTAATATAAATAGCTTACATGCTAACGTTTGCATATTAAACATTGTACGTCACTTGGGACTCTATGATTGAGTGTGTTGCCACATAAACCAGGCCCCACCAATGTGTGTAGCTAACGAGATGTTGTTACGCAGTATAGCTAGCTTACATGCCAACGTTTGCATCTTAAACCTTGTTTGTCACTTGGGACTCTATGATTGAGTGTGTAGCCAAAGTACAGACCCAAATGTTTCCATTGAAATATATTTAAACCATACGTTTTTTAGTTTAGCATACAATTATGCCTTCTATTTGCCCATGCTTTTTAAAAAGTGCCCTGGATTCAATTTTCAACTGTTCACTATCTTGACCAGATTGAGTCCTTTTCTAATTGTATTGTCCTGCTTTCTTCGACATGGCCATTGTGAAAATACAGCCTAAGTGTTGCTGGTGGTTGAGATATAAAGCTGTCATAAGGCAACAGTTACAAAAGATTTGAGAAGATCCATGGCAAAGGGCTGATGTTTGTGTAGCCAATAAGTCATTATTTAACCTGAGTTCAATGATTATGCTGACAAGCAACTATGTATTTTGTTAATCCTAGTTACACATTAGGATAAAGCCTGTAAATGAGAAAATGTATCAAAACTAAGAAGGTTGAAGAGTGATCACTACAACTGGAAGTACTTGAATAGAAAAAGTTCAACTTTTTATTCAAAAAGGGTTTAAAACGAATCAACGAAATATACTTTAAATGTTACATTATGAATATTTAACTTAATCTCTAATGCACAAAATATTTTGTTGTCATTCTCTTCAGAGAAAGAAAAAAAATCGCCATGGCACATACATGGGGTGTCAACCAACAGAAAAGAGGAAGCTCCACAGATGTGCAATGTTTTACTGTGGTGGACGACTGCTGCCATTTTGCATATCAAGATTACAGCCTAATAGCAACACGCAGCCAACATCCAGATGACCACCTTCCTCTTTCCAAAGAGTCCGACACAACAGCAATACTGATCCTGACACTGATCACAGGAAAAGCTGGCATGTTCTTTCCTGCTTTTCGAAGTTCTCTAAAAAAAAATAAACAACCTCGTAAAGAATTGAGCCAAAAGGACTGTGCACATCTAAGTAAGGTTGCGTTTTACATATCTGACAAGCTAACAAATGCAGTAGCGGAAAGTCAAACAGGTTAAACTACATATATAATGCTTTTTACAACAACAACAACAACAACCCCCAGTCTACAGTATTGAACACGATATTCTATAATGGCACAGTGAGAAGACAATTACAATCCATGCAAACAGGTTGTATGTATTGCAAGAATATCGAAGTAGATTTTGTTATATTCAACATAATATTATGTTATATATGATGTACACAAAAATGAAAACACTATTCGAACAATTAAGTATATGTTTCAAATGTTTAAAACTCTTTTATCTCCTTCAAAGGAAATCAACGCACATTTAAAAGCATTATTCAAATCAATATGTTAGTTTTATATAAGATAATGAAGAAAAATGCACAAAATTAGCAGGAAATTCCTTAACACAATAAAACAGCAATGAAGTGTTGTACTTACATTTCTCCCAGTGCATTCTGCTTTTCTGGATTATCATATAGTTAAAATGAAGAATATCAAAGTGGCGGGTTGACTGACGTGCTTTATACCAGACTGAAGCCAGCTAACAATCCCCCTGGGATGTTGCAGCTCTCCAACCACAAATGTCCCTCATGCATTTAGTTTCAGTGTTGATACTATTTAGGTTGAACCATAACTAAGAGGCAAAACTTTATTTTTTTAACGTTTTATTTTTTTTAAAAGGTAATGCCAAAATAAACGTAATGGCCTGAATACATTAAAAACTGTATGACAAACAATTATATATATATTATATTATATAGAGAAATATCTATTAAAATACTGCTCATGCAAATAATGTTTTTGTGAGTTACTTTACTGACTTCCTTTCCAGCTTTCCTTCTCAAACCAAAATGAACCAAATGTTTATTTGTCTGTTTGTCCTGGAAAAACAAATAAGAAACACAGTTGATAACATTTATAAAGACTAAATGTTCGTACTTTTCAATTTAAGTTAATGAACTCAATAGTTGTTTACATGATACAGCTATTGGGATTTACTTTTTTTCATTTTCTCTATGTTTATATTTGGCGAAGATTTAAGAAATTATTTGCCTAAAGCTGAAGAACCAAACTTTGGGTCAATGCACAAATTGATTCTTTAAAATGGCCAGCAGCCCCCTGGTTGTCAAAGAAACAAGAAGTGTGATTGTATAGAAGTCACTTGACCTATTATTTAACTAGGATTTGTCTTAAGTCTTCAACTGTTCTTGAACAAAACTCAATGTACATTTTTTTAATGATTTTAGCTTTTACTGATTAGTAAAATAGATAATAAAGCAGGGTACGCTTTATTAGTTGCAGCAACACAGACCTGTCAATCAAGATAGAGACATACAGTATATTATCGCATTCAACAGGTCCACATGTAATCCAACAGTCTTATACAAGTCACTTTTAGGCCTAAAGGTCAAATGAACACACAGGTTTACAAAACTGAATGTTCAGAACCATAGTTATTAGTTCAATACAGTTAAATATGTGTTGCAACACAAAGACAAATTATACTCCCACTAAAAATGAAAAGGAATTATTTTTCATAGGAAAGTTGGGACTTGTTCAGGAAACACTATATCCAGCATTCACTTGTGAAGATGAGCCAATATGGGAGTGATATGATACATTGGTATTTAAAACACGAGATCTTGCCTACACTGACCTGTTTAGGCATGGGTGTCGAGGAATACAGTGTGATGAGTCAAACGTTATGAGTCAACATCTTCCTAAAGTTCATAAATCATCTACATGTCTGTATAAAATATGGATATAGTCCTCTGATTTACTGTTTTGGAAAACTGCATTCTGTTGTCATTTTATGTCATCACATGTCATTTTGCGCTTGGGGCTTTGGGTTTGTGGTTTGTGGTTAGGATATGGCTAGAGGTAGCAGACAGAACCAGTTGAAGTCAGGTTAGAGGAATAGCTAAAGATGGCTGGTTGGGGTTCAGGTTAAGGTAAGGGCAAACAAGTATCAACCAAGACACTAGTCTGTGATTTGAGCCTGCGATTGGCTGCATCTTAAGTGTTGTTGGTTTGAAGAAATAAAAACAAGTCCAAGTTTTTATTCCCTGTATGGCTAAAGGATTAAAAGTGGAGATAGACCTTTCTCCATCTCTGACATAGTTCCATTGTGAGTTTTTATTACAGAGACAAGTCTATAAAGACACATATTTTGAAACAGGCTAGTACAATCCAAGCACACAACTTTGGGACAGCCATTGTAAAGTTTTAAAGGGGCCCTTTTTCGCTCATTTTCAAGTTTGATAATTGTTTTTATGCAACATGTTTACATGTTTTAAAGTTTCGAAAGGTCTTTATTTTTCTCATACTGCCTCTGCTGCAGCACCTCTTTTCACCCTCTGTCTAAAACCAGAGCCCAGTCTGTTCTGATTGGTCAGCTGGCCGGATCTGTTGTAATTGGTCAACCTCTTAGATATCTCCCACCCCTTAGCCTATCACAAATATGTGTTGGAGCGCTAGCCAACAGAGTATTACATAGTGATGTCACTATGGGATTTTAGCCTTGGGGGAACACCCCAAAAAAGCCTAATAAGGACTCTTTAAGAAAATAAATTGAATTTACTAAGAAATGGATAGATTATTTAAATCCCATGCATGTTGCACTGAGAAACAGAAGCAACAAAACTGAAGCCAACCTGCTATAGACCAAACCAGAAAAATTATACTGCTGTGATGTGGAATAAAGAATCTGAATGACAAAAAGGTGATGTGATGATGATGATGAAGTATCTTCTGAGATTAAATTAGTTTAAAATAAATTGAATTTGTGTGTGTATAATTAATAAAGTGCATATACAGTTGTTCATTTCAATCTACAGACTACTACAATACAGGCTGTAAATATTGAGATAAAATAAACTTCCAATAAACTTTCTAAATTTGTCTTAAAATAATAGACAAAATAGTGTTTGTCCTATAGACCAGTGAACGGAAAAGAAGACAGGTAAAAAACTGTTTTGCACACACAGTAAAACGATATCTAAAACAATATTGTCTCTAACAAAATGCCCCCTCGACATGTTATTCTACAACCACATCATAAGGCTAAATCCAGCCCGGCTTTAACTTCCAACAATGTGCTTATTCACAATAAAGTGCTTTAAATCTCTGCAAAAGCATCATATTTCTATTCTGTGTCACTATTGTTGACTCAATATATGTGACTCTCAAACATTAGCTGATTTGCGTGCCTGATTTAAGAAGCAGTCCAAGGTAAACTGCCCTTCCCCCACATGACACTGAGTATTGCTTTCTTTGGAAAACGGTCCGCTACCTTGTCCAAAAAAAACGCAGTAATGTTTTCCCCTGAATGATCCCTGCTCGCTCCACAGTGAGGAGTGCATTGCACAGGTGCAAGCTAACAGGCTTCTTGCCAACTGTCTCATTTGTTGGCACTAATTGTGTTTTATATTCCAAAATGACTGTGGTCACATAAATCTACATAAAGCAATGACACACAAAGCACTTAACTCTTTATAAGTATCAAAAGCGACAATATTCAAATATTTCACATTTATCAGATAATTATTACGATTGGTTTGAAATATTAAAGTCGCAATCTTAGGTTATTTGATTATTTATTTGTTTTGTTTGAGCAGATAAATAAAAAGCATGAGATTCACACCAGAAGTGTCGGAGAATAATAATGCAAAGCTTTTATTTCCTATAAAATTTACTAATGTTGCTGAACGTGAAAATATTATGTTTGCCATATTTTCATACACTGAGTTAAAAGCAGTTTCAGACAGGTGCAAATTACATTTTTTTTTTTAATCTTGCACAGTGTGCTCGGGTGGGTATGGTTCTGATACAGCAGGGCGGTTGTGTTGTTTAATTTGTGGTTAACTTCCTCTTTTTGACACCTGAAGACTTTTTAGACAGTTAAAACAAGCTTTATTTATTTAATTTCTAAGATACAAATGAAGATAATTAATTTAACTTAATATGTTTTATTTAAAAACGATATTATTGCTTTCAACTTACGTAATACAGTTATGAAGAAACCACCCCCTTACAAGGGGGTGGTTTTATGGTGCTTATATGTCCGCCCATCAGCATCCATATTCGGCCTTCTTCATTACACCAGCCCCCCTTCTGTGGAGGGTATTCTCGTGCCCCTGGTGGTCTTACAAGGGGGTGGTTTTATGGTGCTTATATGTCCGCCCATCAGCATCCATATTCAGCCTTTTTCATTACACCAGCCCCCCCCTTCTGTGGAGGGTATTCTCGTGCCCCTGGTCATGTTAATGCTGCCTGGTCCTCAGCATCCAGATTCTGCCTTATTATTGGCACCACCACCACCAGCCCCCCTTCTGGGCTGGAGGTTCAAACACTGTATAGATATGTAATTGAAGTCAACGGTTTCAGCTTTTTCAGTGTATGCAGCTTGGTAGCATTTTCTTCTTTCCGAAAGATTATAAATATATTTCCACCACCAAATTTGCATAAAGCATTATGGATATGTATGTACTTGAAACTATAATGATATAGTGCTTTAAGCAAGATGATAATGCATTATAGACGTCATAGAAAGTGTTACCTCTCATTCCCCTAAAACATTTTCTCAAGATAAAAAACAAATGTTGCCGCCAAAATAAGATTAGCATAATGAAAAAACTTAAAAATCTGGAGACTAAATTCAATCATTGACTAAGTCTGAGACTGAAACTAGCCTTTGGGGGGGGGGGGGGGGGGGAACGACACCTGCATGTACTTCAAGGTTCACTGATCAGCAACGTACAAAAAACCCAGCAGAAACTCTTCTGCATGTTTCACTGCATGAAAGACTGATTTCCTTTCTTTCTTTCTTTTTCATTCAGATGCTATTGTTTTCAGGAATCAAAAGGATAGTTCATTATTCCTTTGTGGGTGACAAACAGTGCGAGCTAGTGTTGTAAACATGTCCATATTTCTATTTTGAAATTGCCATTCAGAGTTAATTATGACAAGAAATAACACAATGCATTTCATAAGGTTGGTGGTATTTGCTAAACATTTCAATTAGAAAGGTTAGTGGGTGCCTTAAATATATGTTTACCTTGACATGAAAGGCGGGTTAACTCCGTTCAGACTTAGTTTCCACACCAGGTTTCGTGGCACATCCAACAGGCATAACTCCACAACAGCATATGACTTGGCTTTTGTCTGCTGCTGGATTTTGAATGTGTGCAGTGAGTGATGCAAAGTGTGGCACAATGTAGATACAGTAGTTGATGCAAAGAGGGGAGAACTCGGGCTGACTGAATTGGGATGATGTATATAACAATAGCTTTACTGCTGACCCAGACAAAGACAGTAGATTCCTATCTGAGCCTAATTTTATTTTCAAGTGCCGCAACACTTTGAGGACCTGACTTAAAGAAAGGTGTCACCAGTGTATTCCTTAGATGCATGAATTCCCTTTCAACAAATATGTATTTCACAACAGGCTGACATTCAATTTCTTATCATGCAGGCTAGCGACTCATTCTAAAAATGACCACAACAGACAAGACAA